AAAAAAGATTAAACTAGAAACTTATTTTATTTTACCTTTTTAGACAGGCAGAGTGGCTAGTGAGAGAGAGAGACAGAGAGAAAGGTCTTCCTTTTTCCGTTGGTTCACCCCCCAATGGCCACTGTGGCCGATGCACCACGCTGATCCGAAGGCAGGAGCCAGGTGCTTCTCCCGGTCTCCCATGCGGGTGCAGGGCCCAAGCACCTGGGCCATCCTCCACTGCACTCCCGGACCACAGCAGAGAGCTGGACTGGAAGAGGAGCCACTGGGACAGAATCCGGCGCCCCGACCGGGACTAGAACCCGGTGTGCTGGCGCCACAGGTGGAGTATTAGCCTATTGAGCCAAGGTGTCAGCCTAGAAACTTATTTGTGAAATACACAAGTCAACTATTATAGCAATCCTGATCATTATTTGAATTTATCTATACTTTGTTTTCATCATACTGTAAGTATGGAAAACAAAGTATTTTATACTTTTCTGATAGTTATTCCATTCTTCAGATTTATTTGAATCTAGAAAACAGAGAAAAATGCAGAGCTTGTACTTCATTGTTTTTTCATAGAAAATTATTTGTTAAAATTATGCACAAGTCTCATCCTTAAATCTACTTTTTGTATCAGTGGCACAGTTAGGACTCAAATGTGAGCCCAATATACTGAAGTGGATGACGTGCTGCTCAATAAACAGATTGACATCCCCCTCCCACTAACATTAATAAATGATTATCGTCAACCTAGAATGAGGATGTTAAATTGCACAGGACTCTGCCGCTAGCCCTACCTTTCAACATTTTAAATCAACAATATGGGTGAAAAGTAAAGCAGGCAGTCCTCATTGAAAGAAGGGATCCTTTTAATAGTATTCCTAGTGGACACTTCAAGAGACAGGCACTCTTACATTGTAAGAAAGCTGATTTCAATTCAGGTTACTTTAGACAGAAAGTTTGCCTTTAATATTAAGCAGAGATCCTAATTCTGTAGAGCTACACAAAGCTTGATTCCCTTTCAAATTAAAAATACTTTAATTATTTAAAGGTTTGCTAGCATGTCTATTCATTCTAATACTACCCATGTTCTAAGCTCAATTTCAGTTCTTTTCAAAATGATTTCAAAATACTCTGGTTTATTTATATTTATATAAAAGTGTGGTACCCCAAATGTGACTCACACTCAAATCAGGAATAACTAAATATGATATACTAATGTTGAAGAGCATTAGCAGTCTTGTGGTTTGGTACTTCTTTTGAGAAACTCCATCATTCATAAAATCGACCGTGGACCACATCTGGCTGTTACTCAAGGCAAAATGCAAACATAGCCAAAAATGCAAACACAGCCAATAGAAGTACTACATGCCACAACAATTTGGTTTCACAAGTTTGATCCTAATAAACCCCTGGGATTATCTAGAGATAAACTGGTTTATATCATTCAGGTGGCAGTACTGAAAATGTTCATTAACAGATAGTCTGAGCAAGCCCATTCCCACATTTCTGCTCGCTGGCTTAGTAGTCTAAGGCATGGAAAAAATTAAGAAGAAATAGGCAAAAAAATATGTTACACATAAATCACCCCATAGGATGGATATCTAACTTCTTCAGTCCACACAGAGATATTACTTAAAATATTGGCAAAGTTGCTAAACATTAGGCAAAGAGAATCTATCTTTTGGAGCCAGCAACTGTGGTGTAGTAGGTTAAGCCTCCACCTGTGGTGCTGGCATCCCATACAGGCGCTGGTTCATATGCTCGCTGCTTCTCTTCAAGCCAACTCTCTGTTTATGACCTAGGAAAGCAGTGTTAAAATGGCCTGAGTGCTTGGGCCCCTGCACCCATGGGAAACCTAGAAGAAGCTCCTGGATTCTGGCTTCAGATTGGCCCATCTCTGGCCATGGTGGCCACCTGGGGGTGAACCAGCAGATGAAAGACTTTTCTCTCAGCTTCTACCTCTGTCTGTAACTGCCTCTCAAATAAATCTTAAAAAAAAAAAAAAATCCACCTTTTAAGATTGAGGTAGAGGCAGCAGTAGTAAATGAAAAATATCTAAACCTTCCAATTTTAAGTACATTTACATTCAAAAGACAAAAGAACCAACCAGTGGATACTTAGGCTCATTCTCCTTCTCCTTCCCCTCTACCACTGGCATTTAATATCTTCAAATTTAAGCTCCTTCCTATCTCCTTCAAGACAATGTACTTTTTTTTTAAAGTGACTGTTCAAGGATAATGACCCCTAATTGTGGAATGAGGAAGAGAGCACACTGATAACTGAGATTTGGGGACAATTTACAAGGATGGCACAAAAACCATTACAGTGGAAGACGGCTAAGCAGGAAAGTCCTTAAGATCTCAGCTATGGATACAGATGCTTTATATCATATAGATGGAATTCATATCAGGGATAGGCCATTTCTAGTACATGACAAATATGATATGTGTGGAAAACCAAGTAGCACAGCAGATTGGATTTGCTTTAACCATACAAAAGGCAAAAGAAATATGGAACTAGCTAAAAACCATGGATATACTATGACAATTTCCAAAACCAATAGATCCTTAGTTGAGAATGTGAACTTTCATTTATAAGTGCACTAGACTCACAAAGCAACTGGGTACAAGAACAGTTACTAGAAAAGGATTTTTTTTTTTTTAATCCAGTCGAAGGGCCTGCTTCGGTGCTCACAGTAAGAACTAACAGTTATTGGATACTATTACGTGCCAGACTTTATTGCTAAGCATTGTATATGCTTCATTTAATCCTGCCCCAAATTCAGCCACGGGAATTGATACTACTGTCATTGCCACTTTACAGATAAGGAAACTGAGGTTCAGAGAGGTTAAGTAACTTGTATAAGGTCATATAACTAGTATGTGGTAGAAACTAGAGTGGAACCCAAAGTAGTCTGAATGTACAATTCGGCCAACACACCATTCTACTTCCACAGCAGGCAGAAAAAGTCTGTTTACAAACTGTCAATCTTTTCAATTTTATCTGATTTGATTTTAGAATAAAGCTACCTAAACAAAACTAAGCATGGAGGGAAAAGATACTAAACATGACTACTGTCATGGATGAACCCAGGTGAGTGTTTCAGAAAGTATTCTACTGAAGACATTAATGATAATAACAGAAGTTTGATCACCAGTATCTCTAAGCTTTAGTTGCTCTATTGCATGAATGAGAAAACTGGTACTGTCTCATAGTATTGGTGTGAGAAATAAACAACATAACTACACACAAAAGCATTTTGTAATATGCAAAGCACTAGAAAAGATTTATATCTTATCTGAAATGCTGGGAGCAGATACTTCAAATTCTGGATTTTTTTCCCCCAGACTTTGGAGTATCTGCATATACCATAGGGATGGGATACAAGCCTAAGCACAAAATTCGTTTATGTTTCTTATATACCTTATCCACATAACTTGAAGTAATTTTATACAATATTTTTAGTGCAACTATATTTTGACTATGACCCATCAGATGAGGTCAGATGTGGAACCTTCTACTTGTGGCTTGTGTCAGGACTCAGAGTTTTGGGCTTTGGGACATCTTGGATTTCAGATTTTGATGCTCTACCTGTATTTTATTAGGCAGCACTTTTGTTAACTACAAAAAACACAGGCTTGATAAGTAAAACAGGCAGAACACATTTCCAACATAATTGCAAAAGACAGACTATAAACTAATGGAAAGTATATATACTATATACAACTAAGATATCTCAGAAGAATATTTTTATCAGCTTAATTTAATGCCAGGGTTTGTGGAAATTCAGAATTTATCATATACTTTTGGGGTCCTTACGTCAGGAGCCAATTGTGCAGGATTGTAGCAAATAGAAACATCACTTCTCCTGCTCCCACCCATGCATGCAGGCATGGTAGCAAATGCCAGCTCAAATACCACTCCTGAGGAGGCCATCCTTGATCTCTCCAGTCCGAAGGATCAAGCTGACGCCTAGCCGCTCTCGCAGACATTGGCTATTTCGTTAGCATTTCTTTCTGACTGGTATCAAGAGTTAACGGTTGCTTCCCATCTTGACTTCCTCCCAGTTCCCACAGACCCTCAGCCACCTAAGGCAGATAGATGATGATTCTGGCTGACTCAAAAAGCTTGCTATATTAAGTATGCATTTCTCAATTCTAAGCCTGAAGCAGCAGTCTCAGTCTGCACCTGGGGGTGAACATACACCAAAAACTTAAAAACAATTCTGTCTGGCAAAAACCTGATTGTGCACAGTATCTGCTCCCTTCTTGATCTATACGGTCAAGAAACGCTCTTTAAAAAAACTGAACGGGAGGCACAAATTTAAACGAAAGAGAGGAAACCTAAGGGACGCATCAGAACACTCACAACTCCGTTTCTAATTCGGAACTACTTTCTCCACCTTGTTCCACACATTAGGCACCTTCGCATCACAAAGAGAGGGTTTCTATCTCGTGATTGATCCCTCGTTTCTAAATACCTTCCAGGGACACGTACTATTTGCTTCCAAAATTCTGAACCCAGAGCAGAGGCCAAACTCAAGGCCGGGATAAGAAAAGGTTCCCCAATTAGCACAGCAGGCCGGAGAACAGGTACTTTGGTTGCACAGAGCGCTAAGGAATCTTAGGCGGGGTACCTAGAAAATGTGCTTCAGGGCCACGCACCGCACGAGGTTGCACAGGGCTAAAATGTGACTGCGATGCGTTTCTGACCGGGCCTCCTCCGCGGCAGGCGTCGGCCCGTGAGGGCCGCCTCGCCGGCCTCCCCGTAGAACCCGGGCCGCTGTCATCCTCCTCCCAAAGGCGCCCAGATGAACCCCTTCGTCACGGCGCGCCCCCTCCGTCGCCCAGGTTGCGGACCCCCTCGCCTAGGAGAACGCGGGCTAGCGTCCTCTCTGGTCTCGGCGCCTCACGCCCCTTCCTTCCCAGCCCCGCATGGAGTCCGCCCTCGGCTCTAGCGAGCAGCTTCATCCCCAACCCCGTTTCGTAGCTGTGCCTGGAAACACCCATTACCTTCCCCAAGCATATGTGGCATGTGATGGGCAGAGTGAGCGACAATGTAACGTTCTGCACGGTCTGAGCCATGGCAGCGTTCAGAATCCCGCCAACACGGAAGTCCCGCCGACAGCGGCTCCTCGCCACGACTGGGGACGCGAGAGGCCGGCTACGGCGGCCGGGCAGGGCCACAGTCCGCCAGGGAGAGGAAACTAAAACGCGCTTTGGAAATGCGCCGTCGCTCGGGCTTTTCGTTTTAGTTAAGCTAAAACTAAACTAAACTGCTTTCTCTCACTAGGAAGCTGTAGGGTTCCTGAAAATGGACAGGAAGATGGTTTGCTCCAGGCATCGACGATCCTGAAAATTTAAGGAAAAGCGTAATAGTGTCGTGAGGGGAGAACGACGCGGGAAGACGACTTTAAGCGCTAAGATGTTTTACCCCGGAAGGTTGGATGTGAGGTAGTTTTCTCCCTCAAGATAAAATTCCACACAACAACCACACAATACAGTGAAGACGCGAAGACACTTAACTTTACATTTTGATTTCTCAAAACAACTTTCCACCTTTCTCAGCTGGCTTTCCCTCAAACCACAGGGTGTGCTTCAGAGGACGCGATAATTCACTGGAAAAACGGTGATTGTCTCCTTATCTTAGGGTATTGCGGGAGCAATCTAGTTGTGTTTAATCGCAGCTTTCCTTGAGGACTCTCACTTTTGGCCTTTCTGTGGAATCCACTTCAAGAAAATTTAAGGATTATAGTGTTCCAGCTCAGAATTCTGCCAATAGTGCTGGCTAGCAGCTTGCACAATCACAAATGCGATTATTATTTATTTATTTACCTACTTATTTATTTAAGACAAAGTGAGCTGCTATTCACTGGTTTATTACCCAAGTGCCTGCAAAGGGGCAGGGAAGGCAAACCAGTCCTCCCACGTGGGTGCCAGGGACAAGTCCACTTGAATCATCACCTGCTGCCTCCACTGGTCTGTGTTAGCAGGAAGCGGGAATCATGAGGTGGAGCCCTTGAACCCAGGCCCTGCGGTAAGATCCTGAGTGTCTTCACCACTAGGCCAAGTGTGGCAGTCTGCACAATGCTTTTTAATGCCTTCGTTTCAAGTGCATGATTGGATAGGAAATGTACCGCTGTGTTGGTGAACTCCAAAAGGAGAATTCGTGAAGTTATAAATTAGCATTTCCTAAACCACGAAAAAGCAAAAATCTAAATGAATCTCATGCAAGAGATTTGAGATTTAGCTGTATCTCACTTTAAGTGAGGAAGAACTGATGTGATAACTTATGCAAACAAATATAATCTGTGAGTTGGGAGATGTAGAAGCAAGACCAATGTAACAACTATTACAATCTTTCTGACAAAGAAGCAGTGTGATCTCAAGAAGCCAAGAGTGGAACAGGACTGCTGCTGTGGAAAGCAAAGCCTCAACAACTTCCTAGATCTATGGCCTCAAGCAACTTATCTAACGTTTCTCAGTATTAGTTTCTTCATTGTGTGTGTGTATGTGTGCGTGTGTTTGTGTTTGTATCACATGAGGTCAACATATGCTTACTGTCAAGTCTGAAGGAGTAGGTAGGGACCAGTGTTGTGGTGCACCCAGTTAAGTCACCACTTGGGAGGCTGGCATCCCCTATGGGAGTGCAGGTTTCAGTCCAAATTCTCTGGTTCTGATACAGCTTCTTGCTAATAACAACCTGTGAGGCAGGGCAAGATGGCCCAACTCTTTGGACTCCTGCCACCCATGTGGGAGAATAGATTGGAGTTCCTGGCTCCTGACTCCTGGATCCTGGCTTTGGCTTGGCCAAAATATGGCTGTTGTGGAAATTTGGGGAATGAACTAGTAGATAAAGACCCCCACCCCCACCCCATGCATGTGTATGTATGTGTGTGTGTGTGTATGTGTCTGTCTGTCTCCATCTGTGTTTCTCTGCCTTTCAAATAAATAATCTTTTTTTTTTTTTTTAAAGAACAGGCAGTAATGTGATTGGAGCAGGTAACAGTTCACTTAAAAAAAAAAAAAAACCAAATCCAGTACAAAATTGGCTCACAAATGACAGTAAGAATTCTTCCAAACAGCTCAGCAATTTCATTTCCTAGGAATTGGAAACCATCATATGCTAGGAATTGGAGAACAGGCAAAATAATTATATTGATTCTTTAATTAATGACCACTTTTTTTTCAGAATACCTGACATAAGAATCATCTGGTTGGATTATTCTTAGTTTTTTGAAGGCAAAGTAATTTTTTATTTGAGTTCCTGAATTCTCATACTTTGCTAATGCATTCCTTCACATTCCTAACTATAAACCCAGGCTTCAGGATGACAAAGCTCCCAGTCATCACCCTCTGTAATTCCGGTGTTGCCTTTTACCCCATATTACTGTTTTCTTCCCAATCCTCTTCCTGCCCAGGCTTGTACCTTACATGGTATTTTAGGGCTGCCTTCTACACTCTATGAGGTGTATGACTGAGCATATACTGCCTCTGACATCCGTCCCTGGAAACACTGAAATAGGAAGACATATTGAATGCACTTTAAAAATTATTTATTTGCCAGGCAGAGATATAGAAGGAGAGGGAGATGTGGAGAAAAAAGATCATCCATCCAATGGTTTACCCCTAAAATAGCTGCAACAGCCACCTCTAAGCCCTCCCTCTAGGTCTCCCCACATGATTTGGCCACCTTCCACTACTTCCGAGACACGTTAACAGGAAACTGGATTGGAAGCAGAGTAGCCAGAACTCTGGGACTCTGATATGGGATACCAGTGTTGCAGGTGGCTGCTTAAACTATTGTTCCACAATGCAAGCCCCACAACTTCTTATCTAAAAAGACTTTTCCAGCCCTTACTGAGACAGATTCCTTTTTCACAAATCATCCTGATTATTGGTTAGTACCTGGTCACAAAGAAATTTAAAAAGTCATGATCTGTTTGTTAAGGGGATACTAAAATCTACATAATTTCCAGTATCTCTTTTTTAAGATTAATTTATTTATTTGAAAGTCAAAGTTACTCACAGAGAGAAGGAGAGGCAGAGAGAGAGAGAGATCTTCCAGCCTCTGTTTCACTCCCTAGTCTGCCGCGATAGCTGGAGCTATGCCAATCCGAAGCCAGGAGCCAGGAGCTTATTCTGGGTCTCCCCGATGGGTGCAGGGGCCCAAGGAATTGGGCCATCTTCTACTGCTTTCCCAGGCCATAGCAGAGAGCAGGATCCAAAGTGGAGCAGCCGGGACTAGAACTGGTGCCCATATGGGATGCCGGCGCTTTAGGCCAGGGCATTAACCCGCTGCGCCACAGTGCTGACCCCGGGGCATTTTGAATTTCAGATTTTGAGGTTGGAAATGTTCAATTTGTTGCTATTTCTGAACTGATCTTTTGTATTATACTTGTTTTTGTTTTCCCTCACAACAGACTATGTTTCTTAAGGTCATGAATTGCATCTAATATATCTACTGTTTGGTAAGTGGCTATTCGATACCTTTGTTGTAAATCCAGGCTGTTTCATTATAAACAATGTCTTTACTTGTTTTTTATTTTACCTCAAAATAGAAGACTGTGTTTTTTGAGAATTTTAAACATAGTAAATGTTCATTTTAAGAAAATGAAGCTCTTAAAAATAGAGAATGATAAGCAAAATCTGTGTATACTTTTGCTCTCTATTAACGTTCTACAACATAGAGTTACAGACAGCTTAATTCATATATTACTGTATGCATAAACACACGTAGGATCAAGGCATACCATAACATATTTACTTTTGTCACTTAATGCTTTGTGGAGACACACACGAACACATTCAAATAATATTATTAGCCATACAAGTGGCTTAGGATTCTCCCTGGGTCCCAATTGATTTTGGCCAGTTCTTAGACTTTGTTTTTAATAATGCAAATGGTCTAAGGTCAAGAACTATCCCTTGGGCCTGTGCCGCGGCTCACTAGGCTAATCCTCTGCCTGAGGCACTGGCACCCCGGGTTCTAGTCCCGGTCGGGGCGCTGGATTCTGTCCTGGTTGCTCCTCTTCCAGTCCAGCCCTCTGCTGTGGCCCGGGAGTGCAGTGGAGGATGGCCCAAGTGTTTGGGCCCTGCACCGACATGGGAGACCAGGAGGAAGCACCTGGCTCCTGGCTTTGGAATAGCGCAGCGTGCCGGCTGCAACATGCCGGCCAGCGGCCACTTTAGGGGTGAACCAACGGAAAAAGGAAGACCTTTCTCTCTCTCTCTCTCACTCTCTCATTGTCTAACTCTGCCTGTCAAAAAAAAAAAAAAAAAAAAAAAAAAAGAAAGAAAAGAACTATCCTATCCCCTCTGTCTGCTATAAAAAGAGCGTTTATTTTCTTTTTTTTTTTTTGACTGCTCACGTTGTAAAGAGGTATTCTTTGTCACAAATTGTTAAATGATGCTGTCATTACTCTACCAGAAAAACATAGATTACACAGATCATTGACTTACTATTTAATTTCTCTCTCAAATTCTTAGCTAATTGGGGATCTGAAAAGTTCTATAACCTGGAATAGGCTAACAAATGTGTCCTAAATCCTTGGAATTGTAGACTTTTTGAAGTGGAAAGGCTCTAAGGAGTTGTTATACAGGCATTTCCTGGATAAGGTAAACCAGCAGATAAGAGTAGAAATGAAGCTGAATCTCGGCTCATACTTGATGGACTCTCTCGGATTGTTGGCCCAATGCCTTCATGTAAGTGCAAGTTGTATTATTATTAATAAAGTAGTTCAGTAATAAAAAGTCAGTCATAATTGAATTTCTTTGCTAAGAAAACCATCAAATAGCTATGGAACACCTTTTACCCCTTGTTTAAATCAGATTCATTTTTATGATAAATTATTTAAAAGCAAGTTTAAAAAAATATAAAATCTTAAGTGCTATTAAAAATTGATTAGGAATGCATTATTCTTTCATTGACCCAGTTCAGATTGTTTTTTAATTTTTTTGTTCAAAGCTAATAAATTTGAGTAGATGTTTCAGACAGACGTTTTATAATCATTTGGTCATCAGTCAATTAATCACAACTTCATAAATATTGATTTCAGATTACATTTATTTTTCATTCCTGAAAGACAATTTTTTGTTTGTTTTAAATTCATTCACCCACACCCAGATTGTGGTTAAA